CAAATCCCAATAGTTCCAGCAAGGCAGCAAGTAAGATGCATATATTTAGGCTCAGATTGCTTATTTACTTCACAAAAAATGGGGGCATACAAAACTATATACATATAGAATCAACACCAACCCATTCATTTCAGTTTTTGGTGGAAGCTATCATCATTGCCAACATATGCAACACTTAATCAGTATAGAGATAAACAAGATTACCATGTCTTGTACAAACACACAAATAGGTGAAATTGTACCAGTGGAACAACAACACTTCCTTTTACCATTGTACCAGCACGTTTATGTTTTTCCAGCCATCCACGCATAACATTGACAGAATGACAGAATCATAGCATAGCATATCATTGGTGAAACAACATATTACATATTTAAAAGATAAAGAAAAAGTTTTACTGTTATCTGATCAAGAGAAGGGCCTCCACCACCATCAGTTAATTATGCATTCTAAACAGAACATTAAGTTAGCAAATAACAATAAGTTGAAATATAAAATTTCAAAAAAGAATGTGTAAAAGCTTGTACCTGTTTCCAGCCTCTCTACCTCTTCAACGTTTTCTTCTATTGAGACAGGCTGATTGGACATCCTCAACCAGTCTTGAGCACATATGAGGGCTTCCACAATTTTGGCACTCAATGAACTCCTAAAGCAGTCTAACACTCTTCCACTTGTACTAAAAGTGGACTCAGAAGCTACTGTGGAAATAGGAACAACAAGAATATCTCTTGCCATCTTAGATAGAATTGGAAACCTCTCACCACTAAGCTTCCACCATCTCAAGATGTCAAATTCACTATCCTCCTCAATTATGTTCTCACCCAAATAAGTTTCAAGTTCAGTTTTTTCAAGCCTAACACCCCACTGTCTTGTTTTTGTTTTTTTCAATTGGGCTTTCAATATGGAGACAGGCCTACTCCCGGTTGATTCAGATTGCAAAGGAACCACATTTGGGGTTAAAAGGGAGCTTCCACTAACAGAGCACTCATAGTTTGTAACATAATCACTATACAATTCATTCAAACCCAACTTTATCTTTTCAAAGAAGGCCTTGCCTGTCTTTTCCTCATACAAAGCAATTAATTGATGGGGCATGTACTCAAATTTATCCCTAGGGTCAAGGACATCTGCAAAGAAAATAAGCATGTTCATTTTTTCTGGATCACCCCAGTACTTATCCAGTTTGGCTTTCATATTAGTCCCCATTAGTTTCACAGATCAGATATTCCAGAGAAGAAGGTATTAGCAGTCACATAGAGAGAGCCAGAAATCCTAAGGGTCATTTCATAAAAGTTTTTAAATACATCTACCAAAGTTTCAACTGCAAGCCAATCCTAAGCATCATGAGTTTCATGTTGCAGATCAATAGAATAGGAAGTCTTAGTCTCCTCATAAGCTTCAAAAACTTTTTCATTAGATAGTGCAACTTTCAGCATGAGATAGGTTGAATTCCACCTAGTTGGGACATCTAGGTGCAATCCAGCTTTAGTCTGCATTTCAATCAAGTCTGAAATGTCCTTGAATTTTTGTAACCTAGCTGGTGAGTTTCTAACATACTTAATAGCATCTCTTACTCTTTGAACAGAACCATCAGCTTCTTTTAAACCATCTTGCACAGCTAAACTTAGGATATGAGCAATACATCTCATATGAAGTTACTTTACTTTCACAGAAGAAGCACCCCAAGATAAAAGTTTTTTCTTAAAAAAACCTACTGCAGTATCATTACTACTAGCATTATCAACAGTTATGGTGAAGATAGATTTCAATCCCCAATCTAGCAAACAAGACTTTAGAGCTTTGGCTAGGTACTCTCCTCTATGGGAAGTCACAGGAACAAAGGAGATGATCTTTTTTTTTCCAGCTTCCACTCATGATCAATAAAATGTGCAGTTATACACATGTAGTTGATCCTCTGTACAGAGGTCCATGTGTCGGTTGTTATACTGACCCTCTGTGTGTGCTCCCTAAAGTACCTTTTCATATTCAGCTTCCCATCTAAATAGATTTGATAGATGTCCCTAGCAATTGTCCATCTAGAAGGAATTTGAAACCTATGACAAGCTATAGCCATAAACTTCCTAAACTCTTGCCTTTCTACAAATCTAAATGCAAGTTCATCAGTTATGACCATTTCAACAAGTGCTCTCTTAATTGCAACTTGATCAAACACCCAATTCACTAACACTCCAGTATTTTCAGGTGTTGGATTACACAAGACTGGTTGGAAACTGAGAAGGGCTTGCCTAGTATCTTTTGAGCAAGGAATTTTCAGACAGTTCAGTATGTGATTTCTAAGAGAGGAAGTGTCATGCTTCTTGGACCGACAACAGTATGTTCTGGCACAATGTTTGCAATTTGCTTTTGATAAGGACACCTTTACTATCTTTTATCTTGTCAAAGTATTCCCATATTATGGATCTGGACTCTACCTCCTTTTTTTTTCTAGAAACAGGCACATCAACAACAGGTGTCTGCTGAGTGCTGGTGTTAGGGCCAACATCATGAGCTTCCACCATAGGTTCTTGAGAAATAGGATTCAGAGGAGGTTGAGAACCAGATGCAGGTATGGTATCAATACATTGACCTTCCATTCTGATAATTATAGGCAATTCAAATACCTCAATGCAGTCAACACATTGAACAATGAACACATAAATGACATTATCACATATTGACAATCACAAATACTTTTACACATGCACAGTAAAGTCTGGAACAATCAACAATGTGATCTACAGAAGGATATAAGCAGTATGCTTATTCTCTTCTCTACAGACTTAGAAGATACCAGTTCACTCTAACTACTCGTTTGAGTGTTTGAGTACAAAAAGGTAACTTCAACACTTGTGAGCCAGAATATGTGAAATATGAATAATCAAATCATCATGTTTACTCAGAAAATTATATTCAGCCATCATCTCATTCAGTACTCAGTAGTTCAAAATACATATCACATATGTATCAAGGCATGAAGCTTACATTTAAGTATTTAACAGGCATCACAGATGCATCACATGTTACAAATCCACAGACCACAGTGAAATAGGTATCAAAAAAGTCAAAACGAGGTATCACCATCTCACTTATGCATCACAAATTACAAAGCCATAGTCAAGTAGGCAAACAGAGGTATCATTGAGGCAATGAGGCTAACATTTAACAAATCCATTGTAAATACCAAATAGGCTTCCAGAATTCATGAATGAGTGAGTCACAATTACACAAGTAATACATATCAAAAGACAATAACAGTATGACACAACATATCTAGGGTTCGAGCTTCCAGGCTTGCACCATAGTATAATACCAGTTATACCACCATAATAGTTTATGAAATCAAACTTTTATACCTCACAACAGATCACTCGTATAGTCGCAGGCTTCCACCGTTCCACTGTTCTAAGCTTCAGCCGTTGTTAAGCTTCCACCATTGTTAAGCTTCCACCAGTCCAAACTGGAGGAACAACAAGCCAGAGAGGAAAGGCAGAGAGTCAGAGACAAGCCAGACAATGAACTATCAGTGCCGGACTCCCGGAGGGTGAATGAGAGAGATCGGATTGACGAGAGATTAGATAGAAGGGATCTGCGATGAAGGCATTGAAGAGAGAAGGGGTCTGTGATGAAGAGGATTAGAGTTAGCCGGTTAGGGACTTAGGGTTACAGACTGGGTTACCTCTAAATAACTAGTATATATACTACTTGGAGTTTCGGGTTTTTCGGGCGGGTCGGGTAGCGAATTTTAAACCCTACCCGCGACCCGCTACCCTGAAACCTTAAGGAAACCGGGTTCGGTTTGGATTTTCGGGTTCGGGTCACCCGACCCGGTGGGCGTACAAAGGGTATATCCAAACGGGTTTTCGGGTCGGTTCAGGTTATGCTCTCCCCTAATTGTATTGTACTATTGCTTTTAAGAAAATAAAGAATAAAGTGGTTATTTTACAATTGTAGCCTCCAAAAAGTTAAAAAAAGTAAGACGTATCTACAAAAAATGAAGAGTGAAATACTGAAATGATGATAAAGGGACATAGTGAGAAATTAAAAAGTTGATGAAGCTCATCAATTCAGAGATATGTTCATATCTTTGGGACTACTAAAAAGAAAAACATATCTTACGAAATGGAATGAAAGTAGTGAAAATATAGTTGAATACAAATAGATGTAGAGCCCGTTTGCTAACATTCAAATTGATCCAATTGGTCGATTCTGCTAAAATCTATGATGTTCGGATCGAAGTGACTGGATTGGCTGCTTCTGCTGAGTTATTAAAAAATTACATTTAGAATATATTTTATTAATAAAATAAAGAAAATAATATATTATAAAATAGCTAAAATGATCCTCCAAAGTAACTTCAACCGATTAGGAAAGTAACTTCAACGTTAGTTATTTTGATTATTAAACAATTAAGCCAAAAAGACAGAGTTATCAAACTAGTTGAGTCAAGTCAAATATCCATCCATTCTATTAGAATTTGATAATATATACTCGATTTGCATTTTTATTTTATTTATGATTCAAAATTTCAAACTTAAAAGAGAGTTTCAATTTGATTTGATTACTTTTTTGAATATATGTTATAATATTTAAATATTTTTCATATATGAACACACTTACACACCATTACTATTCTTTTTTAATTATATTATACATAGTATACAGTGTTTAAATTGTAATCTTAATTAGAATAAAATAAACAAATAATCAAATACAGTAGAGCCATACGTAGTATATCATATCTTTCTTGTTTTGCTTAACTTTTTCACATTGAAAAATCAATAAGCATCATTCACGAAACAATTTTTTTTTGTTGTTGATAAGAATTATAAAGTAACAAGAAAACTAAAATTTGAGAAACAAGAGACTAAAAATGGAATGTCATTTCATGAAATTTAGAAGTGAAATTTATATCGAAAATGCTTAGTATACATATATTGTACACAAAGTGTACAAGGTATAAAAGCCCATTTTTTATTTTTACCTTTTTTTCACCCCAGTCTCTTTCCTCTTTCTCTACCTTCTTGTACGCTCAAACTTCCCCTCTCTCCTTCTGGTCTTCTTCCTCTCGCCTCTTGGCTTTCTTTTCTTCTTCCTTTTTTAATTAATTCATTAAATGGAATGGAATTGGAGTCTATTGAAGGGAGCATTCCACATGGTATATGAAGCAAACATTTCAAGGGTGCGCCATCCATCTCCATTATCAATTTCAAAGGTGGGTCTTCAATTCAAACCCTAGTTTTTAATATTTACATCTGTTTTTGGAATTATGAATATACCGCTTTTCCGTTCGGATTTGCAAATTCCCATCCCAATTAATAGCTCTTAGTGCTTTAATTTTAAGCAAAAATGATAATTCGAATCTTGCTCTAAACTTATCCCAGTTTATAGCTCCCAATTTGATTACATTTTAGATTATCTAATCTAAATTAAGTTTTTCTTGGTCCGAAAGTTTTGCAGAAATGGTAAGCGACCAAACAAGTCTAAAATATGGAAACCTAAAGGAATTTCTGGGTTTTTAGATGAAAAATTATGAAAATGATATGTGTTGAAGGGGGGTTGTGGGGGTGAAGACATTGACCAGTTGAAAGGTGGAGGTAGTGATTGTTAGGTTGCTTAAAAGAGTGAATTATTTAAGTTAAGTATAAAAAGAAGGTTCTCTAGTCTTGCATTTGAAGAAAAATAGAATCTGAAATTCATTAAACACCAAGTTGCTTACATTTTCTGATTAACCAAAATTTCCATACAATCAAAAGATATTGAAAATAACAATTGTATATAATTAACTGATTTATCTCATCACCGGTTTACTGGAAAAAGTCACATTGTTTTTGAAGTTTTGTGATTTGTATGGAACTTCTTATATTTTCATTAAACTCTCCACTAACACATGTGTATTACACAAGAGTTTCTGAAGAGAATAAGCATCCAGTAAGTAGAACAACCCTTTCAATTTCCCCCTTTTGTTACTATTTGCCTCTTTTCAGTAAATTTTTTTTTATTAGAGAAAATGATGTGCGCCAAATGGCATTTCAGATCCGCCATGGCAGTCTAGCCAATTTCCAATCAGGAATTCTTCCTCTGAAATCATCTTTGCTGAACTATGCATGCCTTAGATGTCTTTGCGGACAGGGAAATATCTATGCTAGACAAATAAACTAATCCATTAGTTCTATAATTTTTTTTATTTCTTAAAAAATAGATACGTAGTTTTTTAAGCCAAATTTCAACCAATTATCTTAATACATGAACCCAAAATGAGAGTTGTGGGATAATGTGTAAGAAAGAGGCTAAGAGTATTCTCCCATACCATGAAGTATAAATTTGCAAGTCACACAACAATACATATTGTTGTGGAAAGTCTCATTGGCTGTTTGAAATATTTGATTCTTTTCTTATTCCACAAAAAATGAAGCTTTTTTTATATGTCTTTCCATCAACTTGGTAATAGTTTGATTGCACATATGGATCAATATATGTACCAGTGTAAATTTGACGCTTTCTGGTTTATAACAAAGTGGTGCAGGTGTGGGAGCTTTAAGAAACAGGTACATGGACTTCCTTCTTTGTTAAATAACATCCTTCTTGATGAATGGAATATGCGCTTTCTTGATTATTATTGTTAGTTAGTTCTAGATTAACTGAAATTAGAATAGGTTCCTTGTTACCAAAATATAACCTGTGAGAGGAAGTGCTTGAAACTTCTGGATTGCGAATGACATGCCTGCAAGCGTCGCTGCTGCGATGGAGAGTGCCTACCTTGTTCTGAGGTGTGTGTGTGTGTGTTTTCCATGTTCTGTGTATAATACTTAAAATGTCCTTTTTACTCCTTTATGTTTGTTTTGTGATAGTCTTTTTGGATTCTTAGGTCTGTGATAGGAGGCTTCAGTGTAGAGACCATAAGTGCCCTGCTCCATGTCACAGGTTCTCTCTTTCTTTTTTCCCCTTTGTCATCTTTGTAGAAATGCTTGGGTGGCAAATTTTGATACTTCTAGTTCAGATTCTGAAGAATCAGATTCAGAACAAGACTTTGATATTCAGAATACTAATAAGGTACTCAGTGTAATTTTTTCATCTTATAATTTTGCTTACTTTGATAAAAAAAAATATTGCAATGAAATAATGTGATATTGTTTGATATAAGGTGATGTTGCTTCTTCAACTGAACACTAAGTGATGATATTTGATATTCTTCAATCAAAAGCATCACAACTGGTATGGTTTTCTCTCTTTCTATATTAATTGCAACCTGCTTTGGAATCATTTTGTAAAATTTTCATACTTTCTCATATGGTCTTATTATACAAAGTATATCTGCTTGCTTTGATGTTGTTAAAGGGTATGATTCAGAACTTATCGAAGAGCTGTCAGCACATATTCGCCAGAGGCTGTTACTTCCGAGTGGAAAATGCTATTGAATCATCAAGGTGATTGCCCCATTACTTTGTTTATTCTTATATTATTAAATCTCATATGTTATTATTTTTCTCGAGCTAGTATCTCATTGATGTTCTCACATGACTATTCATTTTTCCCTATTTTTTTTGGGTATTCTGACATCAATATTCATGTGTTTCGTTTTTAGAAAGGTTCTGATTTTTATAGGACATTTGGACTACTGTACCATGAATGCCTCTAGCATACAAGGTACCTGACTAAAACCATAGTTACTCTATTAAAAGTAAGCTTACTCCAATTGTCCTTAGACCTTAATGAACTATCTATAAATAAAGTTTAGTAGAGTTTTTTTATTTTTAAAAACTAGCTAACGTTAATCTCCCTCAAAGATTTTATCTTCTGTGTTTTTTTCATTCTCCTAGTTTAGTTTGCTCATTCCAAGGCATCTCATCTTAATTGAAAATATACATTTTGATTGTTAAGAATCATGAAGAATTGTAAACTTATTTACTAATTTGTGTTTAATTTTCTATTTACTTAAGAGCTAAATAGCTAAATGAATCAACATGGTCATAGTAAGTGAATATGCACCTCTTCTTATAGAAATAAATGATGAACTGATTTTTTTACTATTTATTCTCCCATCCTATTTATGTCAAGTTAATTAAGTGATGTTTTCCCATTACTCTCACTTTGTGATATTTTCTATTGTTCTTCTCTGAACTCACATTTGCAGCTAAATTGAGATTTTCTCATCTTAAATATGAAGTATTAACTCGAAGAGCTGTGATTGTTAATTATAGGTTGTGTGGATGTTTAGATTGCTCATTATTATGTTTGGTTTTGCTTTGCAGATTATACTTTAGAAGTGCCAGGCTTAGAATGTGAAGTGGAGATCAAAATGAAATGAATTCACACTATAATTGATAGTTTTTAGACAATGTAGTTAGTTTTTGGAATTACGTATTATTTAACAATTTTGAATAATATATTTAAAAAGTGCATTTGTATTTCTGCATTGTTCTTGTAGTATAATTTGAGTATTATATAATGTAATTTGATTAATCACTATTGTAACATCAATCTAATAAAATTATGAGGTGATTGTAGAGCGCCCAAGTTATGTTACTATGCCCACACAATAGCCACTCAAGTAGCTAGCTATTTTTTGTAGCCAGACACTTCATAGCAGGTTCACAGACATTTTGACTCAGTACACTAGTGGAATTGCCTGTGAAGCAGACATGAACTCTTTGGTTACAGACAATAGCCACTTGAACGGACCTAATGTACTAAGTGAAAGTGTTTGTGAACGTGATATGAAGTGTCCAGATACAAACAATAACCACCGAATTGGGCTAATGAACTCATGTGCTGAGTGGAATTGTCTGTGAACCAGACACGAAATGTCCGGCCACAGGCAATATCCACTGGAATAGGCAAATATGCTAAGTGGAATTGTCTGTGAACGCGACTTGAAGTGTCTGGTTACAAACAATAGTCATTAAAACTTTCTTGAGCACACATTCTTGACTTTCTAATAGAATATTTTTCCCAACTTTTGTAAATTTATAATAACTATATAGAGCACAATTAGTTTTTCCACATATGTTGATCAATGTGATAAAATAAACATTCTTGAGACACCAATTCGTGTGGGTCATAGACAATTGCACTTAGCACATTAGTCTTTTTTTTTTTTTTTTTTTTTTTTTTTTTTTTTTTTTTTTTTTTTTAACCCCGGAAGGCCAACCACCAAAATCAGTGGGGTAGTAGCCGGGGGACAACTACCAGTATTTTATTAGAACAGTAGAAGTTCAGTACAATACCAGACAGCGGGGGACTAGACCAAAACCGCTCCTGAAGGAAATAATGCTAGAATCTAAAAAAAGGCCAACCAAACAGGTCCGCGTAGTAACTTTGTTTTGCCCGAGTAGGAAGCTGATCCACATGATAGAAATGGGTTTCCGAAAAACCGGATCCAGCTAAGTAATGGGCTACAAAATTTGCTTCTCTAAAGATATGTCCGAAAACCAGCCCACTCTCTCTTGCTTTCCTCCTGAATGTCCGAACACCATCAGTCTGCATCTCGTTGCTTTCATCTGAAACACTGGAAAGGGAGCTTACAGCATCAACTTCTACCTGGAACCCGCTATATCCCATCTCTATCACCATAACACAAGCTCTAATTAGAGCTTTCAATTCCGCCTCAGCACTCGACGAAGCCTGAAGGTCAAAACATGCCGCCCAGATGAACTCGCCCGATTTGTTTCTCAAAATCGCACCACCTGCCGATTTATCAGGTATGTAGGAAGCATCAATGTTCAGCTTATAATCAGTTCTTGGTCTTTTCCATTTCACCATAGTACACCAGGATCCCTTAAACCGAAAGCCCGGAGGTATCAATTTCTCATGTATGAGATGTTCATCGATGGGTCTCCATTTCAGACCTGATATCTTATTACTCCAATTCTGTGTATATAGCTTAATTTGCCAAATTAAACTATCTGATGAAGGAATAGAACCAGATCCCCATTTGAAAGAAGCATATACTTTCCAAATATGCCAACAAATCATACCTGGAATATTGTGCTTAAAGAGGTCTGAAAGGGTCTTTGAACCAGCTTCAAGCCACCATGAAATCATAATCTGTCTAATAGAAGTGTAACTTTTAGGGAATGGAATGTCAAATACACCCATAAAGTACTGCCAAATCTTCCTAACATTTACACAGTTAAAGAAAATATGGTTGGTCTGTTCACTGTGCCTTCTGCAGAAAGGGCATATAGATGGCTCAACCACCATCTGAAATCTTTGTAAATTGTCAGGAATGGGTAGGAAGTTATGAACCAGCTTCCAAAGAAAAACTTTAACCTGCATATGCTGTTGTTTGTGCCAAATATGCTTATATGTAAATGTAGAAGCCTGATTTTCTCTGATTACATTGTATGCAGATGAAAGAGAGAACTTCCCTTGACAATCAGGATTCCAAACCCATGTATCCTCCACATTCCTGCTACAAAATTCATTGGCAGCCTCATTAATTGCGCAAATTCGCTTCCAAATAGGTGAGTCTGTTATCTTATGAATCATATTATCTCCTCTTTGGTATCTTGCCTTGATAAATTCAGTCCAAAAAGATTTCTGAGTTTTCCACTTCCACCAGAGTTTGAGGGTAAAGGATTTTTCAACATCAGTTAAAGCCCTAATCCCAATCCCTCCTTCCTCCACAGGGAAACATAGTTTTGCCCACCTAGTCCAGTGAATTTTTTGCCTGTGGACGGACATTTCATCTATAGTTCACAAACAGTTCCACTTAACAAATTAGCCGTCCCAGTGGTTATTGGTTGTGATTAGGCATTTCATTTCTTGTTAATATCTCGTTCACAGACAATTCAATTTAACATATTAGCCCCTTCCTTCTTGGTAGACACGCCTATTTCTTCTTCGGGTATGTAAACCTTAAGTAAGTAAAGATAAAAATAATATGGAAGAGTAAACAGTGTTTAAACATGATTAACACCTAATAGGATATTAAAATCAATCAACAATTAAATAGATGGGATTACAAAGGCAAAGCGTATTGATCACCCCTAAAATTAAGACATATCCTCTTAAGATACAATAAATTAAAATAAAGGGGAAACAAAATGGCCCTAACCAATAGGCATGACCAATATGTCAAGAAACAAGGTCAGAATCTTATTACATAATGAAAAAACACTCCAAAAATGAAATTTTTTCATTTCAACAAATGGACACTCCTTAGAGGTTGGAATTCCGTCTCTTGCATGTCTTTTGCACTTGAAATAATGACCATCACTTTTCATTCTTTCCATTCATGGAAGAGTACTCCACCCGACTTACGTTTCTAAGATTTTACAATGTTAATCGTAAAGGAGTAGGAGCATTCCAAGTGAGGTAAAGAAGACCTTCTATGAACTGGCCACTTTATGTTCCAAAAAAATACAAGTTGTCCAAAATCAGGTGGAATGCCTAGCTATACAGAATCATTGTATTCAACAACTTGCAGGAGAAGAATAAACGGCTTCTATTCAAACAATGAACATGTGGTATAATTTAAACTGCAACCAAAAATATAAACACAAAAGAGTAATATTAGTCTCATTTTTTTTCATTAAGCTACTGAAAGGGAACATTAGTCCCAATACAAAGAATCATGAGTCTATTACGGTTCCAAGTGAGGCCCTAATAATTAAAAAACTAATGCTTCTCTTTACTGCATACTTATGAAAATCCCCAAACTAAAATTTAAAATAATCAAATAAAATAGTCATTCAAAAATTATAGTAAGTTTTTATGGAATAAAAGAGTCAATTATTTAAGTAAAAAATAAGGTTCTCTCAGTCTTGCATTTGAAAAAAACTTGAATATGAAACTCATTAAACACCAAAGTGCATTTACAAATTAAAAATAGCAGAAAAAATATTGAATTTGAACAAAAGTTCACTTAGTCATTTCAACAAACACCTTATGGGCAAAAACAAACTAGAGTATTTACACTAAGATTTCAATAATTAACTCATCAAATCTCTTACAATAAAACAAAACAATCATTTTTCACTGTTAAAACATATATAATATTCATGAAATTAGGAAAAGTATATAAAACCCCTAAAATGCATATGAAAAAATGGGAATAATTATTTACGATTAAGTTGGGAGAAGGATTGAAATTGATGTATATGACCATTTAATCAATTATTCAAGGTTATAACATCCACAATAAACACAAAATCGGGAAAAATATAAAAAAGCAAATCACACAAGAAAAATAGGAAAAATACATTATCTCATGGTTTGAGAAGAAGGATCAACCATAGAGAAAAACGAATTTGTGCACGAAAACTAAATGAGGAGAAGGATTGAAATGTTGTTGATGTTAAGGAGCTTGAAAATGAAAAAAAAAAAGTGAAAGAGAACCACTACGTAGAGTGCAGGGAAGAGAACGAGAGAAGAGGGAGGAAGAGGAGAGAAAAGGGATTAAGAGAAATGAGAGAGAATGAATGGAGTAAAAGATAAAAGTAAAATGGTAAAAAAATAAAGTATATATAGTTTGTACAGTTTGTGTATACTTTGTGTACCCCAAGCAAAGTTCAATTTATATACGGAGTATACGTTGGACATGCAGACTACATATTTAATTAACACTCTAACATCTATATTTATTATTATTATTATTATTATTATTATTATTATTATTATTATTATTATTATTATTATTATTATTATTATTATTATTATTATTATTATTATTATTATTATTATTATTATTATTATTATTATTATTATTATTATTATCATTATTATCATTATTACTATTACTAGTACAATTATTATTGCTATTATTATTATTTGCAAATATTTGAATAATTTCAATAGTCAAATAATTTCTATTATTATTAACAACAACAAAATCTCAAATCAAATATATCAATAGTCATATATTTAATTTATGAAATAATTACATAAATATGACCAAAATAGAGATGATTTACAAAAATATGACTAGTTATATACTAGAGTAGTAATGAAATCATAGTAATTCATGTTCAAGTTTTGAACTTAAGTTACCACAACACTACAGTGTAGTTATGAATCGTTATATTTATGTAACTAAGTTTTATTTTAGTGTTGTTGGAATAAGAATACTCGAGTTATATTTATGTAACTAAGTTTTATTTTAGTGTTGTTGGAATAAGAATACTAGAGTTATATTTATGTAACTAAGTTTTATTTTCGAATCAAAATTGATATTCTTATATGTATTCTTATTTGAACTTATTAGTTTTAAATAGTCATATACAAGTTGGAATCATGAATTGGACGCAAAATATTATTCATTAAATATACCTTTTTTATGCAATATCGTATTTGGGATGTTTTTACTTGGACTGTAATTTGCTGGTCTGGTCTGATCTGGCCTGGTCTGAACTTACTTGGTCCGGTAATATCTGGTCTCTTTGTATTTTTATAATTATCCAAGTCTAGTATGGGACAGATTACCGTTCAAGTAAAAACATCTTTGGTATCAACTGTTAGCATCATTGTCTTGATTACTATTTTATTATAATACTCCGTAATAGTAATTATTACTCCGTAT